GCAGCGCCACCCACAATGCTTCTGCAGGAGTTAACAAATGTTTATTCTTTTCCATGTAAGAATTATGTTATTATATCATTATTTTATTTGGATATAGGGTATTGTTCATCAGGGTAATAGTTCACAAGGACACTTGCTTTGACTGTCATGTCAGCTTCATATAAATGGTTTTGTTATTTTACAGCGGTGATCTGTACAATATTGATTATATCCTTGTGGTGAAAATAAGGCTAAACTTTAAGTCAATTTTTAGAAGACGTATTAAAATTGGTCGTAATATCTATCTCTTTCTCTCTCTCTCCCTCTCTCCCTCTCTCTCTCTCTCTCCCTCTCTCCTCTCTCTCTCTCTCTCTCTCTCTCTCCCTCTCTCTCTCTCCCTCCCTCTCTCTCCCTCCCTCTCTCTCCCTCTCTCTCTCTCTCTCTCTCTCTCTCCCTCTCTCTCTCTCTCTCTCTCTCTCTCTCTCTCTCTCTCTCTCTCTCTCTCTCTCTCTCTCTCTCTCTCTCTCTCTCTCTCTCTCTCTCTCTCTCTCTCTCTCTCTCTCTCTCTCTCTCTCTCTCTCTCTCTCTCTCTCTCTCTCTCTCTCTCTCTCTCTCTCTCTCTCCTCTCTCCTCTCTCCCTCTCTCCCTCTCTCCTCTCTCTCTCTCTCTCTCTCTCTCTCTCTCTCTCTCTCCTCTCTCTCTCTCTCTCTCTCTCTCTCTCTCTCTCTCTCTCTCTCTCTCTCTCCTCTCTCTCTCTCCCTCTCTCTCACTTGGCCGTGATCCTAAATTCTGCATGCCTGATAGACAGCCCAGACAAGGCTTAAGGTTCCTGTTGAGCAGCAGTGTATTACTTTTGGAATCCTTCCCTACAGTTGTTATTCATGGCGTTTTTAATGGTGCACCGTCTCCCTCACTAGGGTTCGGAGGTTCGAGGCTCTTGGAGTCCAAGTCAATCAAATCAACTTTTATCTCCCGCTACTTTTTCTTTAAACATAGACTATGAATCATTAGGAATGTTACTGATGTAACCACAGATGAAATGAATTGAAACCACAAACTAGGAGCTGCTATCCGTCAACAGCTAATTTCAAGTTTCTCTATCTCGTTATTAAATGGACCAAACAAAAATCATTTAAGTAACAAAACAAATTAGTTAGAAGATCCATACGTAATAAAAGTTTTAATGACATGTTTGACAATAGATATGAACACCCTTCTCACTGATCCCAGAGAAAACACCAAACGTTTAGTGTAATAAAATTTACAGTGAAATATACCTTCAAATGGACGTATGAGAGCGAGGTATTTAGGCAGCAGCGACGGCTTGAGGGAAGTTATTGTTAGGGGGTCTGAAGGGTAAGCAATAAAAAAATCTACAACTCTGAGGCGCTTTGCCGTCGGTATTGTAAGGGTGGAAAAGTCCATTTCTTCCCGCTGGAGCAGACCGATCGACCCCGTGAAGGTGCCGTTCGTCTCCACTCCCCAGGTGCGGTTCACAGCTTCGTGGACATCGAAACTGTGGGCCAAAGTGACAATGTTAATAAAGGAACTTCAGAATGAGGTACGAAAATATGGCAGTTTCGTTTAAATTGTAAATTTGAGATTTTTAGGAATATATTAATCTTACTATAACGTTGTGTGCAAACAATGGACTGTGTGTGTGTGTGTACTCACCTGGTTGTATGCACCTAGTTGTGCTTGCGGGGATTGAGCTCTGGCTCTTTGGTCCCGCCTCTCAACTGTCAATCAACTTAAGTACAGGTTCTTGAGCCTATTGGGTTCTATCATATCTACACTTGAAACTGTGTATGGAGTTTGCTTTCACCACATCACTTCCTAATGCATTCTATTTGTCAACTATTATGCCATTAAAAATGTTTTTTCTAATGTCTCTATGGCTCATTTGGGCACTCAGCTTTCACCAATTTTCACCTGTGTGTGTGTGTGTGTGTGTCTGAATATACTCAGCCATTTGTGCCTGCAGGATCGAGTTCTAGCTCTTGGACTCTGCTTTTCTAGCAGTAGGTTGGCTTATGCCAAGACTACTGACTTATTTCCTTATCATACCTGCTTTCAAGGTTAAAAATGGAGTTTGCCTTTAAATCCTGCTCCTTTAGGTCATTCCATTTACTCATTATTCTTACACTAAAAGAAAATTTTCTAACATGTCTTTGACACAACTGAGTCTCAAGCTACATCTGTGCCCCCCTTGTTCTATTGTACGTTGTAATAATTGTAATTGATATAAAAAATTGTAAACATATACTCTAATTCCACCCTGTCAATCACTCTAAGTATTTTATTAGTGTGTATCATGTCCTTCCTCTCTCTCTCCTCCTTTTTGGCGTCGTCAGATATATTTCCTTCAGTCTCTCTTCGTTCCTTATCCCTCGCAGGTTTGGGACGAGTCTTGTTGCAAACTACTGCGCATTTTCGAGCTTTCTTGTGTGTTTTTCAAGATGAGGGCTCCACAATGGGACAGTGTGCTCTAAAGCTGGTCTCATATAGGCGGAATACAATGATCTAAAAAACTACCGTATTCAAGTATCTGAGAGATGTAATGATTTTTGCCAGAGTATGCGGCTGACGTTATTCTTTTTATATGAGCCTCTGGAGTTTGGATTGGTGTTTTGTCCACTCCCAGGTCTTTTTTTCTAGTCGTTACTGGGAGGAAGTTTCCCTTTATTCTTATACTGGCCATTTGTTCTCCTGGCTCCTGTTCCCAATTCCATCACCTTGTACCTGTTAGTGTTGAACTCTTGAAGTCATTTCTCGGACCAGCTCTGCAACCAGTTCAAGTCATTCAGGAGAATCTTTAATCCTCATCTGTCTTAACCCTCCTCATTAGTTTTGCATCGTCTGCAAACATTGACATAAAAGATTCGACTCCTATAGTCAGTTATTTACATAAATGAGGAATAGTATGGGACCCAGCACCGATCCTTGATAAACTTAATAACTTTATAACAGGTAGGAGTTGTGATCGTGTAATGCTGAGAGATGTGTTTTTTAAGGGAAGTTGTTGTTGTTGTTAAAGATTTAGCTACTCAGGACAAAGTGTCCATGTAGCACGGGCTATGGTGAGCCCGTAATTGAGTTTGGTTATACATGATAACCTTTTTCCTGTGATATTTGGGTCTAAGTTTAAATGGAGGAGAGGACTTCTCCTTTTTCCCTGCTTATTTATACGATGAGGGAAGGAGATGAAGGCAATAAATAGGCAAAAGAGAGGTGAGGAGCAAGGCAAAAGGTATGCAAGGTAAGGTGTAGTAGAGGGGATTGTAACAGGAAAAAGAACAAAGGTAACTGCAGAAGGCCTATTGGCCCATACGAGGCAGCTCTTGTTTATAACCAACCAATGAGACGGGGTTAGTAATAGGAATTAGAAGAGGATAGCAAGGGATCGTAAAAGAAAATAGTGGACAGAAAACGAAAAAGGAAAGAGAAAGAAAGATATATGGAAGGGTAAGCTTATGTTAGGTCACGTTTGTTAGAAAGATTACAGCATTTGAGTATATACTGTGAAAGGGAAGAGTCAACGGCGACAAAGCCAGAACTCAAGTTCATGTTGGGTACGTTGTATATTAGATAGGCCTTCAGCAGTTACCTTTGTGTTCTTTTTCCTGTTACTATTCCCTCAATTATACCTTACCTTGCATACCTTTTGCCTTGTTCCTCACCTCTCTCATGCCTATTTATTGCCTTCATCTCCTTCCCTCATCCTTACGGGCTCACCTTAGCCCGTGCTACATGGACACTTCGTTCTGAGTAGCTAAATCTGAAACAATTCCCTCACCCCAGCACCGCTCCTGTGCCAAGTAAATCCACTACGGGCTCACCATAGCCCGTGCTACTTGCCCCGCTCCTGTGCCAGGTAAGTTACGGGCTCACCATAGCCCGTGCTACTTGGAACTTGTTCCGAGCAGCTTAATCTATAACAACAACAACTTCCCTCATCACAATCGACTTTAGAATAGTCCAGGACGGACCAAAACGTCGTCGTCCCCTCCTTTTCTAGTGTGTGGATTGGTCAACATACTTCAGCCACGTTATTGTGACTCATCGCCTGCATGTGCTTCTTTGGCCATTCAATATTTTCGCAAAAAACTAAGAAATTCCTTTCGTTGACTCAGTCAACATTTTCAAGTACAGAGTATAAGTGAATAAAGTTTGGCTAAAGATGCCGAATATATAACCGAGATTGTGGGGAAGTGTCGCATTGGCCCAAAGGTTCACTGCAACTAACCCATCTGTTTTAATGATGGATGGGTCTGCATGTTGGATATCCCGTCCGAGTCTTCAAGATAGAATAACGGAGTGTTAGCTCGCCTGAGGTGAAGTGTCTCTCTAGTAACTTATCTTTTATTGTTGCTGTATCTGTCGATTATTTTAGTGTTGTTTGTCAGGATATCTCTGGTGGTGATCTGGGTTTGTGTACTGACCATGTTTTTCTTGATGGGGTCTTGCTGATTGTTCATTATAAGGATTCTTGAAAAAGATGATTTTATTTAACCTATATACAGAGATCGCTGGAGCTGAGAGCCCCCGAGTGGGCATTTGAAGACATAGACAACAATCAGATTTTCAAGGTGTTTCGCTTGGTATCAGAAGAGCTTTTCAAGAGCAAGCTGGCATTCTTCTTGCTTTTTATAGTCTTTTATAATCTCAATCGTCTGATTGGTGTCAGTAGGGGACACATTTGTATCAATAATTCTTTTTAGGATTCTTTCCTCGGTTTTGTAAGGCGTAGAAAAGAGGTTGCAGAAGATTTTTTTTATAGCAGAGACTAAACATTATTTGTTGGCCGTTTCGTCAGAGGTACCATGATGGATCACATTGCTTGTGATGTCTTCGTAATATCCGTTATAGTACCAATTATTGACTGATTGCCTTACTCTGCCGAGTTTCCTCCTCAACCTTCTTCCGCCTGGAGCTGTGTGTGTGGGCGCGGTTGACATGGACATTGACAACACTCTGCTTGTACCTATCAGGGCACTCACTCGTAGCATTAAGGCACATTTCTATGTTGGTTCCCTTAGTGTAGACTGCAGTCTTTCCGAGACTGTTACATCTAGGAAAGGTAACGTACCTTCCTTCTCCATCTCGTAAGTGAAACTAAGCATGGAGAGTCTCTCGAAAGTCGCATTAACATGTTGCAAGTGCTCAGTATCAGGAACGGGAAGGAATATGTCAACAACGTACCTACAATAGACGTCTGGTTTTAGGCACATGTCAAAATGGACTTTCGATTCGATAGAATCCATGTAAAAATTAGCAATAAAGACACGGAGTTGGGAGGGGTCCGTAAGGACACGATGAACTTATTTATACATACTTCCATCAGGACTTAGGACGGGTGCCTCTTTAATACATGCTTCGAATAGGAACATATCCTAAGTGTGCCTCTTAGGATGTCAAAGTTTTGTTGGAAATTTTCAAAACTTAATTACTAACCCGTAGTACGATAAGAGGTAATTTTAGTACTAGGCATTATAATTTACTAACACTACTAACCAGTTGTACATAGATATTCAAATTATAGAATTGAGGCATAGAACGCCCATCCCATCTAGAAATCATGGCCGTGGTGTTGCGTCAGCTACCCAGCTAGAGGGAATAATTTCTACATATTAATGGATCGAATTGTATCAGACCTAATTTACCTTGCTTTATTAAGGATAATTAATTAATAATAGATTTACTTTCATTTAATAGTATATATGTTCGTTTACTGGAAATAATTTATACATTCTCGATCAGTTATTCCGGTACATAAAACGATAAACTTGATTTCCACTCTTAATATTCTCGTGCGTTTAACGTCATCTGAATTAACTGAATTGCACTCCGTAATTTCATTCACTATGTTATAAAAAAGCCTATTATGACGTAAATATTCGTCATCCAAGTCTCCATCCTTTCGGAACTCGGTCCAAAATATTACAAATTATACCTGGAGTTCCAGCATAGGCGCGAGTGTGCATGCGTCACTGGGAGGAGGAGAGAGTCGCCATATTAACCGACTGATATCAAGGTGTTCTGGCGCGGCCAGACAACAATCAATCTAATCTGCAAGCTTCTACGAGCTTCTGATTGTGGGTGCAGCTTTCCCAAATTACGAACACCACGTTCGGCAGTTTTGTATTACTTAGATGCTGTAATAATATTGGCCATTATTCACGATTCTATTTAATATGCTGTCGTTACGTAGCAGGCGATATAAAACACCAACGTAAGTGCTGATCTTACCCTCCAATTTCTTTAGATCTTGCGATTAAATACTCGAATACTAAATTTGGAGTGGAAATTACATAAGATTTACCTTTCAGCGTGGAATTAAACTGTGAGAATGACAAGCTTCTACTTGCATGTTCACGTGTCATTAGGGATAGCTGACTCAGACAGGAATAAACGGGTGGACGCTGCCGGACGCAATCTATGTTTATCTCTGGTAACTAAGTTGTTTCTCTCTTATTTGTAATTAGCTTATAAAGTTGTCTTCTCACTAGAATTTAACAATTTGAATGATTTATATATTATTGGAAGTGAATTAACTTCTTTTTATGTAAAGTGCATTAACTTCATATTATTTATCTCCCCAAGTTGTAAGGTGTAAGGATTTAGTTCTGAATTATGATTAATATTACAGTTCATTTCTCTAAATATATTTAATTATATTTATGCATTTATTATTGGAGATCCATAAACCACTGATTCTCTTATATTCAACATTACTTTGGTCCTTCGAAACATTTAATATAATTTCATTGTAGAACTAAATTCTCCCGCACAGGAGGCGGGGGGAGGGGGGGGGGGGTAAAAACTGAATTACAATAAACTGTCCAAGTCTCTTCCACGGGCCCATTGGTGAACAACAACTCCACAGCCAGAAACGTTTGCACTCCCGATGCCTGCGACCACTACAACAAGTCGCGAAATTTCTTTGGAGAACAAGTCTGAAAGCATGTGACATGTATGGAGATAGCAGAGAGTGTTGACGGTTACATATACATATTCACGTTTGTACTGCCCAGTAGCTTTAGGCAGGTGGAGTCCAGACAATTTGACACTAACAGTTTCAATCTGTTTTCCTTTTTTTTTTAGTTTGGCAGAAGCATCGTTAATGTTTCTATAGAATTTTGTTTGATCAGAGAGGATGTGGTTTATTTTCTCCAATTATTTTGTAAAAACGCTCAATGGACAATAATCCCACATATCAGATTATATGGGACTCGTTGGGTGTCGCAAAAGCAGCCAAACCTTCTCAAAGAGTGGATTGGGCTCGACCCGAACCACCCTGTGACACTCGCTTACATTCACAAATTATCTTGCAAAATTTATTGAGGGTAGCCTCGAGCATCTGTCCTCCAACCTGGAACAAACAGCAAAAAATTGTCTTATATATATATAGCTATGGCTGTGTGTCTATTTACTATGTGTGCCTGTATAATCGAACTGTAAGGTCTTGGTTCCCACACTTCTTAATTTCGATTGTCTAATGTAGCGACTCTCGACCTATTTTCATCATGTCTACTTCATATATTTCTCTTACACGCTCACACACATTTCCAGAATATAATCCGTAAGCTCTCTAATTCCCAGTTACTTATTCACTGCTAGGTGAACAGAAGCCTCAGGTGGAAAAAACTCTGCCCATAAGTTTCTGCTTCGGCAGGGAATCGAACCGAAACCCATATGACTTATATCCGCTAGCGCTTTCCGCTCGTCTGCCAGGCCCTATGTGTATGTCTGTGAGTGTGTGTGTTTTTGTTTGCATGACAGTATTTTTTCTATTTTTTTTACATGTGTGAATACTAGGTCATGAATAATTCTATGGAGTAAGTGGAATCTTACGTAAAGTTGAGCTTGACAGCGAAGGTGTGGATGAGCCGGGCATCAAGGGAGTCTCTCAGCAGGACGGCTGTGCCCGGGGCCTCGCTCACCCGCTGGTAGACAATGTACGGTGAGGCAATTGATGCTGTTACTATTCTCGTCTTGTGGTCCATAAAGTCTTGAAATCTTTCTGCCGAGATGACATATATCATTATCATTGATATATCATCATTATCAATTTTATCGCGGATAAAATTGATATTAATGGGCAAATTCTTCGTAGCTAGTATTATTGAAACTGATTTGACATATGTTTTTGCAGCAATACATGTTCTCCATACACATTTGTTTGGGAATTCTCGAAAGTAAATTTGATGAAACAGTAACCGCAAAGATTGAGCCAAATTTCGTAAACTGTTTTTTTGTGATATGATGTGTGTTCTTTCATCAAAATAATGTTTGTGAAACAGGTAATCTTGCTGGATAGCCTCGCCAGGCGCTCAGTGATTATGTACTTTGCATATTTATTTTATTTTGACATTGTGCGAATTTCTTTACCAGCTAACACATTTTGTACATTAACAACGGCAGTTTCATACATATTTGATAATGGCTTTTTGTGATTTATATGGAAATCGAGACGAGAGACATAGATACATAGCTAGAGAGAGAGAGAGAGAGAGAGAGAGAGAGAGAGAGAGAGAGAGAGAGAGAGAGAGAGAGAGAGAGAGAGAGAGAGAGAGAGAGTGAGAGAAACAGACAGACAAACAGACAGTCAGACAGGCAAGCAAGCAGGCAGGCAGACAGGAAGGTAGACAGGCAGACAGATTTACAAAGACCCTTACAACTCCGAGTATCTTATCTAGTACAATATATATTGATTCGGTCAAATAGAAATTATCTTAAATTGATTACAATGCAAATAAATTTTATTGGAAAAAGAACGGAAAGCCATTATTAAATAGGAATGTCATAAAAGCTTGAAATTTTGTAATTACAAAATAAAAACCAATAGAAACTATTACATATATATAGCTGGGCAGCAAAAGACTAATCCCAAACTTGTCATCACATATTTCATAAAAGGATGCAGGATAACACTTGGCCCTTGAAAGCTGAGACAAATTAGGTAACTGATAACGACAAAGAAATTGGTGATATTCTAAATATGTACTGTGTAATAATAGAAGAGAACTTCATATTAAGCCAACAGCTGAAGATATATATGTAGATGGTGAAGAAGGTAAGTCTACTTGTTACGTTATTTCCAGAGAAAAAGCTGTTAAACAAATAGAACAATTTCAAATGAATAAGTCCTTAGGGCTAGATGAAGTGTTTCCTGAAGTATTCATTGAATGTAAAGAAAAGCTTAAGTGAATGCTTGGCTTTCATATTAAATAAATCATATGGAGTCGAGCACGGTAGCAGTGTTACGATGGGTTGAAAGTGTGGAGCCGTGAGAGCAATTCGGTAATGGTTCGACCCCTTGCTGGGGAGGATTGACATTGCACTAATTCATAACTGTTCACCTCTGTTCAACAAGCAGTAATTGGGTACCACATTTTAAACCGATTGATAGGTCGTGTTTCAGGGAAAAATTAGTGAATTTATAAATAAAATAAAATCTATATAAATAAAAATGGAAATGTTCGTTTGTCCAAAATCGCTAATCTCCGAAAGTTCTTCATCGATTGCTTTGAAATTTTCACACAACGTTCCACTCGCATCCGGGCAGGTTTTTATATACATACTCTATAGATGTCACGTGTGTGACGAAAAAAACAAAACATGCTTTTTCTGAAAACTGTGTTTTTCATGTGAGGAAAATCTTCGAAACCTCTTTACCGATCGCTTTGAAATTTGGACACAACGTTGCATTCGAATAGGCACGTCTTTTTAAGTTTTTACTGTATACATGTCTTGCATGTGACAGCAAAAAAGTATGTTTTTTTTTGGAAAAACAGTTCAATCTGTTGGAAGTAAGAGCAACACATACTATAATCTCCGAAAGTTCTTTACCGATTGCTTTGAAATTTTGACACAATGTTGCATTCGAATAGGCGCGTGGTTTTTATACCTACTATATAGATGCCACCCCTGTATTAGGTAAAAACATGCGTTTTTGGAAAACAGCGCCATCTGTTGCACATAATAGCAACATGCACGCTATACTAAATGGGTCACGAATTCCATTTCAATGTTTCCGATTGCACTGATAAATTTTATTTTCATTGTTTTTGATTTAATATATTTTTTATAGAATTATTTGGTGTGACATTGTGTTGGAATTGAGCTGTGTCGTTTACCATACCGTTCATTTCGTAGGTATAAGTACAGATGCCACACCTATAACAGGTAAAACTTATGCTTTTCTTGAAAAACAGCGCCATCTGTTGTATGAAGGAGCAACACTTATGCCATACTAAATATGTTATAGTTCCATTTCAATGTTTCTAATTGCATTGATAAATTGAATTTTCATAGATTTTTATTTTTTTCATTTTGATTGTATTATTTTGTGTGAATTGCGTTGGAATTGAGCTGTGTTGTTTACCATACCGTTTATTTCGTGAGTATAGTTTATTTTTTTCATATTTTCATTTAATTGTTAAACTGCTTTTCTTATATTTCAGTGATGTGAACATCAGATCACTTGATGTTCCCAATTTTCTGATGGGAACATCAGACCATTTAGGAAGGCATCGGACGAGGGCATGAGGAATGTTGGGGATGACGAAAGGACAGAAGTGGGAGATAGTGGGGAGGACGAGTGGACAAGGGAGGGGGTAATGGTGGGGAGAGACGAGGGGACGGGGGAGTTTGTGATGGTGAGGACGAGGGGATAGGAGAATGGTGAAGGGGGGAGGACAAAGGGACAGGAGAGTGGGGCACGGTGGGAAGGAAGAGGGGATGGTGGAGTTCGGAATGGTGGGGCGGACGAGGGGACGGTGGAGTAGGGAATGGTTGGGAGGACTGGGGGACAGGGAAGGTTGCTTTATCTGAGCAACGCACATGCGTTGCCGAGCCACAGCAACGTATGGTCGGGTACTGCTAGTCTATATAAATAAAAATATAAATGTTCGTTTGTTCAAAATCGCTAATCTCCAAAAGTTTTTCACTGATTGTTTTGAAATTTTCACACAACGTTCCATTCGCCTCCAAGCGAGTTTTTATATACCTTCTGTATAGATGTGACGTCTGAGACGGGGAAAAACGCGTTTTTTTTAGACAAATCTATTTTCATGTGTTTTTCACATGAGGGAAGTCATCGAAACGTCTTTACCAATTGCTATGAAATTTTGACACAACGATGCATTCGAATAGACACGTGTTTTTATATACCTACTATATACATGCCTCACCTGTGACAGGTAAAATAATTATTCTTTTTTTTTTTAAACACCGCCGTCTGTTGAAAGTAAGAGTAACCAACATTGTTGCCTCCGAAAGTTCTTCACTGATTGCTCTGAAATTTTGACAGAACATTCCATTTGAATGCGCATGTGCTTTCATATACCTACTATATAGATGGCACACCTATGACAGGTAAAATCATGCTTTTTTTTAAAATGCGCCATCTGTTGCACATTATAGTAACACATGCTATACTAAATATGTTAGGATTCCATTTCACTGTTTCCGATTGCATTGATAAGTTAAATTTTCATAGATTTCGATTTATTTTAATCTTGATTTAATTATTTTGTGACATTGCGTTGTAATTGAGCTGTGTTTTTTTTACCATACTGTTCATTCCACGAGTATAGTTTACTTTTGATTTTCTTTAATTGTTTTTAATTTCGTTTGTTTAACTGTTCTACTAAATTTTCAGTGATGGGAACATCAGATCATTTGAGAATGCATCGGACAAGGAAGTGGGGAATGGTGGGGAAGACTAGAGATGGGAGTGGGGAATGGTGAAGAGAACGAGAGGACGAGAGTAGGGGATGTTGGGGAGGACAAGGGCATGTGGGTGGGAGTAATGGTGGGTAGGACAAGGGGGACGGGGGAGTGGGGGATGTTGGGGACGAGGGGACAGGGAAGTGGAGAATGGTGGGGAGGAAGAGAGGACGGGCAAAGGGGGTAATTGTGGAGAGGACAAGGGGAGGGGGAGTGTGGCATGGTGAGGAGGACGAGGGGACGGGGAAATGATGAATGATGAGGAGGACAAGGGGACAGTGGAGTGGAGGATGGTGGGGAGTACGAGGGGACAGTGGAGGGGTGAATGTGAGAAGGACAAGAGGACGAGGGAGTTTGGTTTGGTGGGGAAGACAAAGGGACAGGAGAGTGAGGAATGCACATGCACTCCTGATGCACAGCAAGGCGTGACCACACACACACACACATATATATATATATATATATATATATATATATATATATATATATATATATATATATATATATATATATATATATATATATATATATATATATATATATATATATGTGTGTGTGTGTGCGAACAAGCCTGAATGGTCCTCAGGACTATGTGCAACTGAAAACTCACACCCCAGAAGTGACTCGAATGGTCGTGATGGTCCGCTTGACAATCACGACCAGATTAAGGCATTCTGTAAATACCAGTTGCGTTGCTCCTGGCAATATGGGTTCGAGTCACTTCTGGGGTGTGAGTTTTCAGTCGCATATAATCCTGGGGACCATTCCGGCTTGTTCGCATTTGTGTTCCTCACGTGTGCCCCAAAGAATGAAGTGATTTGATAAAATGCTATGCCCAAGATTACCATTCGAGTGCCAGTGGGGAAGTGGTTCAAATAGCTTCGGCTATCACTTCCTTATGTCTGGTCGTGATGGTCAAGCGGATTAAGGCGTCCTGTAAATACCAGTTGCGTTGCTCCGGGCAGTATGGGTTCGAGTCACTTCTGGGGTGTGAATTTTCAGTCATATATATATATATATGTGAGTAAGGTTACCATGAACATGGGTAGGGAAACCTTTAAACATGCTAACAGAAGTCAAAAGTATATTGTACTCACCTGTACAAAATAAATATATAAATAAATCTAATATGTTAAACAGTTTTTCGGACAACCTTCAAACCGGAGCAGACCAAAGGGTCGGAATTGGCAATTACATAATGTTTGACACTCATATTTGAATTATATTTTTAATTGTATTCCTTTTAAACGGACATTCAGAAGGATTTGTAACGTTCTATACGCGTTGAGTTGAGAAATTAAATAATAATCAAAGCTGTCTCTAGTTTCTGCTTTTAAGAGATTACCTTGGAAGAGGTCGACCCAAAGGAGGTCGGGTGAGTTGATGTTCAAGTTGTGGACGAGTTGGACGTCAGCTTCCCCGTTGTTGCAATACAGACATCGGCTATACACCCTCACGCCACTGTTTGTTGAAGCTGACACAGTAAAGAATAAAATTATGCATTAGAAGAAAACAAATACCTGTCTAAATAATATATATATATATATATATATATATAAATATATATATATATATATATATATATATATATATATATATATATATATATATATATATATATATATATATATATATATATATGTCGTACCTAATAGCCAGAACGCACTTCTCAGCCTACTATTCAAGGCCCGATTTGCCTAATAAGCCAAGTTTTCATGAATTAATGTTTTTTCGTCTACCTAACCTACCTAACCTAACCTAACCTAGCTTTTTTTGGCTACCTAACCTAACCTTACCTATAAATATAGGTTAGGTTAGGTTAGGTAGGGTTGGTTAGGTTCGGTCATATATCTACGTTAATTTTAACTCCAATAAAAAAAAATTGACCTCATACATAGAGAAAAGGGTTGCTTTATCATTTCATAAGAAAAAAATTATAGTAAATATATTAATTCAGGAAAACTTGGCTTATTAGGGAAATCGGGCCTTGAATAGTAGGCTGAGAAGTGAGTTCTGGCTACTAGGTACGACATATATATATATATATATATATATATATATATATATATATATATATATATATATATATATATATATATATATATGTCGAACCTAGTAGCCAGAACTCACTTCTGAGCCTACTATGCAAGGCCCGATTTGCCTAATAAGCCAAGTTTTCATGAATTAATTGCTTTTCGACTACCTAACCAACCTAACCTAACCTAACCTAACTTTTTCGGCTACCTAACCTAACCTAACCTATAAAGATAGGTTAGGTTAGGTTAGGTAGGGTTGGTTAGGTTCGGTCATATATCTATGTTAATTTTAACTCCAATAAAAAAAAATTGACCTCTTACATAATGAAATGGGTTGCTTTATCATTTCATAAGAAAAAAATTAGAGAAAATATATTAATTCATGAAAACTTGGCTTATTAGGCAAATCGGGCCTTGCATTGTAGGCTGAAAAGTGAGTTCTGGCTACTAGGTACGACATATATATATATATATATATATATATATATATATATATATATATATATATATATATATATATATATATATATATATATATATATATGTTGTACCTAGTAGCCAGAACGTCGTACTCGGCCTACTATGCAAGGCTCGATTTGCCTAATAGGCCAAGTTTTCCTGAATTTACATATTTTTCAATATTTTTTTCTTATGAAATGAAAAAGCTATCCATTTCGTTATGTATGAGTTAATTTTTTTTTAATTTGAGTTAAAATTAATGTAGATATATGACCGAACCTAACTAACCCTACCTAACCTAACCTAACATATCTTAATCTAACATAAACTAACAAAATTAAGTCAATCATTTATGTTATTAATATAAAATAATAACAATAATTCATATAAACTAATTGGAAACAATAAGAAAAAAACAAAAACAAACAGAAAACAAAAGAAACAAAAGAAAATCATTCGGCCTATTAAGCAAATCGGGCCTTGCATAGTAGGCCGAGAAGTGTGTTCTGGCTACTAGGTACGACATATATATATATATATATATATATATATATATATATATATATATATATATATATATATATATATATATATATATGTCGTACCTAGTAGCCAGAACGCACTTCTCAGCCTACTATACATGGCCCGATTTGCCTAATAAGCCAAGTTTTCATGAATTAATATATTTTCTCTAATTTTTTTCTTATGAAATGATAAAGCTACCCATTTCATTATGTATGAGGTCAATTTTTTTTTATTGGAGTTAAAATTAACGTAGATATATGACCGAACCTAACCAACCCTACCTAACCTAACCTAACCTAACCTAACCTAACCTAACCTAACCTAACCTAACCTAACCTAACGTAACCTAACCTATCTTTATAGGTTAGGTTAGGTTAGGTAGCCGAAAAAGTTAGGTTAGGTTAGGTTAGGTAGGTTAGGTAGTCGAAAAACAATTAATTCATGAAAACTTGGCTTATTAGGCAAATCAGGCCTTGTATAGTAGGCTGAGAAGTGCGTTCTGGCAACTACATATATATATATACATATATATATATATATATATATATATATATATATATATATACATATATATATATATGTCGTACCTAGTAGCCAGAACGCACTTTTTGGCCAACTATGCAAGGCCCGATTTGCCTAATAAGCCAAGTTTTCCTGAATTAATATATTTTCTCTATTTTTTTTCTTACGAAATGATAAAGCTACCCATTTCATTATATATGAGGTAAATTTTTTGTTATTGGAGTTAAAATTAATATTGATATATTACCGAACCTAAGCAACCCTACCTAACCTAACCTAACCTATCTTTATAGGTTAGGTTAGGTTAGGTAGCCGAAAATGTTAGGTTAGGTTAGGTTAGGTAGGCTAGGTAGTCGAAAAAACATTAATTCATGAAAACTTGGCTTATTAGGCAAATCGGGCCTTGCATAGTAGGCTGAGATAGGCGTTCTGGCTACTAGGTACGACATATATATATATATATATATATATATTAGTATATTTTGGTAGCAGTCTTTCCTGTAGACATATTTTATTAAATATGACCGAAAAAGTAAGATTAATAATTCTAACACGAATTTTCTCAATCTTTCGTACATTATGCTTCACTGTTGGAGGTAAATCAAAAATCACTTCTCCAAAATTCATTTTTATTTCTAGTCTGACGCGACACGGGCGCGTTTCGTAAAACTTATTACATTTTCAAAGACTTCACAAATACACAACTGATTAGAACTTGCATTTCCCTGATTTTATATCTACATTTGAGTGAGGTGGGAAGGGTGATGTGGCATTACATTTGAGTGAGGTGGGAAGGATGATGTGGCATTAGAGGATATTAATAGGGTATTAAAAGTATCAACACAAGACAGAACACGAAACAATGGATATTGAATAGAAGTGTTTGTAGAAAGCCTATTGGTCCACATTTCTTGATGCTTCTATATTGGAGCGGAGTCTTGAGGTGGGTAGAATATAGTTGTGCAATAATTGGCTGTTGATTGCTGGTGTTGACTTCTTGATGTGTAGTGCCTCGCAAACGTCAAGCCGCCTGCTATCGCTGTATCTATCGATGATTTCTGTGTTGTTTACTAGGATTTCTAGTAAAATCTAGAAATCTAGAAATCTAGATTTCTAGAAATCCTAGTAAACAACACAGAAATCATCGATAGATACAGCGATAGCAGGCGGCTTGACGTTTGCGAGGCACTACACATCAAGAAGTCAACACCAGCAATCAACAGCCAATTATTGCACAACTATATTCTACCCACCTCAAGACTCCGCTCCAATATAGAAGCATCAAGAAATGTGGACCAATAGGCTTTCTACAAACACTTCTATTCAATATCCATTGTTTCGTGTTCTGTCTTGTGTTGATACTTTTAATACCCTATTAATATCCTCTAATGCCACATCATCCTTCCCACCTCACTCAAATGTAATGCCACATCACCCTTCCCACCTCACTCAAATGTAGATATAAAATCAGGGAAATGCAAGTTCTAATCAGTTGTGTATTTGTGAAGTCTTTGAAAATGTAATAAGTTTTACGAAACGCGCCCGTGTCGCGTCAGACTAGAAATAAAAATGAATTTTGGAGAAGTGATTTTTGATTTACCTCCAACAGTGAAGCATAATGTACGAAAGATTGAGAAAATTCGTGTTAGAATTATTAATCTTACTTTTTCGGTCATATTTAATAAAATATATATATATATAAAATATATATATATATATATATATATATATATATATATATATATATATATATATATATATATATATATATATATATATATATATATATATATATATATATATATATATATATATATATATATATATATATATATATATATAAATATATATATATATATATATATATATATATATATATATATATATATATATATATATATATATATATATATATATATATATATATATATATATTGACGAAAATGCAGACTAACCTCACACTCATCTGGTGCCCTCGGGAAGTGGAGATGTTTGAGATGTATATATATCTCGAAGTCTTTACTTCTTTTGTAGGGTCTAATGGTGTAGTGGGTTAAAGCATACTAGTTATGGCAGCTACTGGAAGGTAGTTGTGCTTTCTGGGTTCGAGTCTCACTGGTGGGTGTTGTCCAAAGATTGTTAATCTTCCCTTGTGGTTCATGCAAGTATAGGCTTATAAGCTGGACACGAGTTCTCTCACATTGACAGTGGCTTGACGAAAAATGCAGACTAACCTCACACTCATCTGGTGCCCTCGGGAAGTGGAGATGTTTGAGATGTATATATATCTCGAAGTCTCTACTTCTTTTGTAGGGTCTGATGGTGTAGTGGGTTAAAGCATACTAGTTATGGCAGCTACTGGAAGGTAGTTGTGCTTTCTGGGTTCGAGTCTCACTGGTGGGTGTTGTCCAAAGATTGTTAATCTTCCCTTGTGGTTTATGCAAGTATAGGCTTATAAGCTGGACACGAGTTCTCTCACATTGACAGTGGCTTGACGAAAAAGGCAGACTAACCTCACACTCATCTGGTGCCCTCAGGAAGTGGAGATGTTTGAGATGTATATATATCTCGAAGTCTCTACTTCTTTTGTAGGGTCTGATGGTGTAGTGGGTTAAAGCATACTAGTTATGGCAGCTACTGGAAGGTAGTTGTGCTTTCTGGGTTCGAGTCTCACTGGTGGGTGTTGTCCAAAGATTGTTAATCTTCCCTTGTGGTTTATGCAAGTATAGGCTTATAAGCTGGACACGAGTTCTCTCACATTGACAGTGGCTTGACGAAAAATGCAGACTAACCTCACACTCATCTGGTGCCCTCGGGAAGTGGAGATGTTTGAGATGTATATATATCTCGAAGTCTCTACTTCTTTTGTAGGGTCTGATGGTGTAGTGGGTTAAAGCATACTAGTTATGGCAGCTACTGGAAGGTAGTTGTG